AACTCCTGGGGTAATACATTTTTTTACATAACAAGCAATTACGTTAACATGTGAAGGTAAACAAGTCAACACTGTTTGCCTTTCCAACTGTGATTATCCCTAGTAAATTACACACATGTCTATGAAGTCTTCTTGTCAAAACGTCAACATTGCATACCAATGTGTTATCTCATTAATATGAGATAATTATCATATTTAATAATTCAGATCATTCATTTTGGTTGACGTATCAACAATAAAATTATGTGTGTTCAGATAGCGTGCTTTCTCTAATGTTTACAATGTTTCACGACCTTAATGGCGACCGGACATCGATGACCTCGTGCGGACATGTGCAATACTAAGGGGGATAATGAGAAAGACCCGTCTATAGAGTTGTAAATGTGGAAATGAAATCTCAGAAGCATTTTTTTCTCAATTTCTATCTCGAAACAGGTTTCTTTAAAAAAAAAAAAACAAGTTTACTAAAGCAATTCAGTCTTTAATTTTTCTTTCATCAGCTTGAAATTATAACATCCTAAACCGTTAGGTTTATTCAACAACTATCATTAATTAATCAATTAGTAACGATCAAAAGACGATTGTTATTTGGATATGGTTGATTGAACTTAATGATTGGGAATTTGCAATAAGCCGTTGGTCACGTGCCGAGTGGCACGCGCTGATTAAAAAGTCATTTTACTTCAAAATTACAATATCTATTGATACCAAACTTTATATTTATGAGTTATTTACTTATATCCATGTTCCTTGTGATCTTAAAACATCGTTTTTGTGTCCTTAGTGCACTAAGAAGTGCTTTGCGGTATTTCTACACACCGTTTCATTTTAAAGATACTATATAATATGTTTTTGCATTGTTTGCACATTGAACACAAACAAATCTTAAAAAATAAGGAGATGTGGTATAATCTCTCGTCAAGAGACCAAATAACACAGAAATTAACAACTAAGCGTTTTTTGCCTTCTATATACTATACATCTGACGGTGACTTTTAGCTTTAGGGCAATTTAGTGACCAGAGAGAAGATATATAACCTTCTGTAGAAAAATCATTTGAAAGGTAAATATTATTAGGGTCATCCGGAAAGCTGATGAAAATACTTTAGATACACAATGTATTTCTTTTTAATTTATGCAATTCAATTTTGATACTACAAGTTTTTAAATCAGTAATATCTTACGATTCAAATTAGCGTTAGGCAAACTATAAGCAATGTGTCAGTATTTCAATTAGTTATAAGTCCTAATGAGTGACATTGGCCGATCTGACCTGTGATACTTCTTATTTAGTTTGATTTTTAGATGATCTGTTATAATACTTAAAGTGTTTTTGACATTTGAAATAATAATAGTTCGAACTTAACTATTCATTTTCTTACTAGCGTCAACAACTGGTAATTGCCAAATTTGTTGGTAATTCGTATACAAGTAAAATTAGAAGATACGGGGATGTCGTGTGACTCGTGTCTGTGGATTGGATATTAGGAAGTGATAATGAAATGATATCCTCCTGGGCCTATACCGTGTTTAATACACGTGATTTGCGTTATCGTTATATCCGAGACAGTCCATGCAAAAAGGTACAAAAAGTCTCGTTGAACTTTACAGATTACGATATTAAAGTTCGATAAAATATTTTCAAATAAACAGCTGCGCCATGAGCGCATGATACGCCCGTCGTCTTGTGTGTGAATTGTTATTCAATAATCATAAATAGTTTCTGACATACGGCCTGACATGCGAAAACCCCCTTTTTTACAAAAAACGCAATATCTCTAAAGTAAAATTTTGAATCAAAACCAAAAAGTACGCGACATGCGAAAACCCCCCTTTAAAAAAAATCAATATATCAAAAATAAAATTTTGAATCAAAACCAAAAAGTATACAGATCTTTAGATTAATATAACTAAGAAGTGTGAAAAATTTTAAGCAATAATCATAAATCGTTTTTGAGATACGGCGCGACATGTGAAAAACCCCTCCCCCTTTTTTTTTTTACAAAATACTCAATAACTCAAAAATAAAATTTTGAATCATCACCAAAAAGTATACAGATCTTAAGATTAACATAACTAAGAAGTGTGTAAAGTTGTAAGCAATAATCATAAATTGTTTTTGAGATACGGCGCGACATGTGAAAAAAAAAACACATACCTGTTTTAGTTACTAAGTCCCGTAACTCAAAAAGTTTTAATCTTATTTTCACCAAAAAGTATACAGATCGTTTGACCATCATAAGAAACAACTATATTAAGTTTCATAAAATTTGGATAAGTCGTTCTGATGTTACGGTGCGACATGTTTACGCCGAACAGACAGACGGACGGACGGACGGACGGACGGACGGACACCGGACATTTGTATACCATAATACATCCCGTCAAAAATTGACGGGCGTATAAAAACTATTTCTATCAATGTCAACATTCATAAAATTGTGAATTTATGTAGTAATCGTAGATCAGCGGAATATAACGACTGAATTATTTGGGTTACACCACCTCTATATTCTGTTATCTAGTTTTTTTTGCCTCGCTTCTTATTAACTTAGTTTCCCCATAATTCTCAAATCTGTAAACCCCATTCATATACTTATAAATGGTGGTCCCATTTATAGCCTCATACATGTAAATGATAATTGAAACAACTTGAAACAAAAACACACAAATATTAGTGTATGCATGGGCTTTTAGAGAAATATTAGTCCCCGAATCTTTTAAAATGTAGATCTTAATAAGAATATAATAGCAGTTTATCTATGATTTTACATTTATTCTTAATAAAATGTCAATTTATTCTTTTCTGGATTTAAGGGGGGGGGGGGGGGGGGGAGGTGAAGAGAAGGATGGGCGGAGTTTTTTTTTTTTTTTTTGACAAATTGTTTATTTCCTTTGAATATAAGGGACGAAAAAATTCTTCATTTCGTTAAAAAAATCTTGTTTCATTGTATTAAAAATAAATAGATTAATTTGTTGCTGAATAATTTCACAAAAAAAGACAATTCGAAAAAAAATATGAATATGTTTAACCTCGCCGCATTTTTGCGCCTGTCACAATTCAGGAGCCTCTGGCCTTTGTTAGTCTTGTATACTTTTAATTTTAGTTTCTTTTATATATTTCGGAGTTGAGTATGACGTCCATTATCCCCATATTCATTCCCAATTTCATTTACAAGAAAATTAAATGTGAGTACTATATTTTGGTATGAAGACAATCATGTTCCATATATTAATACAACATCAACATTCTTAAAACTTATGTTTAGGCACTTGCTGATTTTCTTTGATTTTGCCGAAAATCGGTGACCCGTAAGACACGTGTCAAAGAACATATCTGAAAACATTATTATCTTGAAAAAATGAAAAAAATAATTATTTTGCATGAGAAAATAACCCTTTAGATATGTTTGCCATAAAAATACATTGGGACTTTTTATTGTTTTTTTTTAATTCAACATCTATAGTTGAAATTCTTAGGTGTACATCGGTTAATTGAATGATAGAATATAGAAATTGTTTTAGTTTTTTTTTTAATAAAAAATAATGTTCCCCCTTTCGAGATTGGTCATTACATAAGTGTGTGCTAAAGTTTGCAGACCGACGACTAACAGACTACGAACAGCAAAAAGTGGATACAACATTTGATATGCATGAAAGAACGTAAGACACACAATACTGATTTCACTGAAAAATTTCAACTAGCACATGATACCCTATGAATTTATTTACATACTTGAACTCTTCTAAGGAATATAATGCTGGACAAAAACGAATTCAGTATATGTTAAATGGACAAACAAACAACAGCACTCGTTGATGGATAAACTTGCGGCTTAATTCATTTTTAAAGTTGAATGATTGATTAATGGTTGTTTAACGTCCAGTGGCAAACATTTCATACATGTTCAAGGCGAGAAGTCGTTTCAGAAATAGATTATGAATTATAAGGTATTCCAAAATGTTAAAATGTTATCATCGTTTAGCAAAAGGAAATTTTCTTAACTATTAAAATTGGTACGTCAATATTTTTCTTACAAACTTATATCTTTTGCTTTAAATTAACACATATAAGGTTCTGATCTTATTAAAACAATGTCACTTAAGTCTCGAGAATTATTCGTTTATTTGGGCTTTTGAACTCCGCTGCATTTGTTTGGATCTGCCCTAACCTGCTGTTTAGTGGTTGTTGTTTGATTATGTATTTCAAAAGTCGAATATATAGACCGTTAGTTTTTCCGTTTGAATGGTTCTACACTGGTCATTTTGGGGCACCGTATAGCTTGCTGTTCGGTGTTAGCCAAGACTTTGTGTTGAAGGCAGATGAGTAAAATTGTATAGTTTTACACGTATGAATTTAGTAATGACTAGCAGAGCACTATCAGATTCAAGACAAACAGTGTTCATGTATATTTGGTATCCGGTATACGAGTACGGGGTGCATTTAAAACTGTTTAAGCTAAACGAAATTTTAATTTTCCAGGCGAATTATACAAAAAAAAAAAAAAGATATGTTTTAATGTGAATTTTTAAAAGTTCGGAACGGAATTGGTTCAATTAAATTTGCTTAACGTACCGGGGCAAATATTATTGCATATTCTCGACGAAATTACATTTTTGATCAGACGATACCTTCATTAATGTTTGCGTACAATATCCATTGGCATTCATCAAACATGCTCATTTTGGTCCCTTTATTGGCTATTAAATAACTACCAGCTTTCTCGTTTTATTTCAAGCAAAATAAATTTTTTTATCACAATCACTTTTTTTTTTATCTCAAGAGCTGCTGCGTGTTTACAAATATAAAAAAGAACTAATTATACTTTTCGCTGCATTTTAAAAATCTGGCATTATTAACTATAAAAAACTTACACATGTATTTGTCATTATTTAATTTTAATGTGAATATTTGTAAGAGGTACATTTTTACTTTTCTGACTAAAATCGATAACGCTCGGAACGGTTAAACGATAGATACACGCGGACGCTGTACCAGTAGGACAACCGGAAGCGCCTGAGTAATGATTTCGGTGCTCAGTGATACGGTTCACTAGACGACGTTGTCAACACGTAATGGCGGCCATTGTTTGACGTTGGATTTGGCATTCCACGCAGTAAAGATGCATTTATGACATTCTTGGATGCTAAAACTTAATGCCACACAACATAAAAGGTAAAGGATTATTTCAGATATACCGAGTTAATTATTTTCAAATAAGTGGGATCCCAAAAAATGATTTAAACGGCAAAAATAAAGTGTAAAATTATATGAAACATGAAAATGAAATCCCATTTTTCACCATTTCCTTTTCATATATTGAATACACTATTTACACCAACCACTGGTGAATTATATTCGGATTTCGGTCTTAGGTATCCGTCCTTGTCTCCGGGAATATTATACCCACACAAGTTGTCAACATCCGTTTTCAAACTGTTCAAAGTGTTCTTCACAATCTCCCTGGAAAATATTGACGCTATCATTTCGTGTTCAGGTAATAGAACGTTGTAAACCTCTAACAGCAAATATTATACGGACCAAAATTAATCAAATTTGAAAGCACGGATGATCACGTGTAATGCCGACTGTAAGTTCTCTAAAAAGGGGAGTAATTTCTCCCCCAAATACACATGAATTTTGTGGACCGTCTCAAATTCAACTCAAAAGTCCATTATCAAATCAGAGGCGGATTTAGGGGGGCAGGTGGACCACCCCCCCCCCCCTTTTGTGGGAAAAATTTGGTTGATTGTATAGGGAATCACTGATGCATGACTGGAGCGGGCCCCCTCTTAGGCAGTTAGTGGGCCCCCTCTAGTCCAAATAATTATGACGTCTTGCAAGGCTATTTTAATTTTTTTTCTGGGACGCCTTCCTAGGCGTCCCAGAAAAAAATTAAAATAGCCTTGCAAGACGTCATAATTATTTGGACTAGGCCCCCTCTTATTAAAATTTCTGGATCCGCCACTGCAAATCATTAGAATGTAAGACATATTCACTTCTACTGTTGGCTATTTTATAGCTGGTCTATTATTAATAGATTCGTCCCATTTCATATACACCAAAATTTAATATTTAAAAAAACTTTCATTATTATATTAACATATAATACAAAGGGAAATCAATCACAAGCACTTGTTTCTGTCAATGGGGGGTTCACTATCCATACTCATACGAAAATTTTTATTTTTATGTGGGTGGGTCGGTAGGAGGAATTATATTCATCTTCTTATTTTACTATTATGGCTTATTAATTTTTTTTCAATCTGTACACAATTGTTCTTTCCTTTTTATTGGACAGAATATTCATGTTCATCCTGTGTCAGCACTCTTGTCAGAGCAATGTTTATTTTATGTTCGGTTATTACCATGATTACATGGACATGTACCAGATCTTTCGCATAAAAAAATTAATTAAGATAGCCATCCTCTAAATCATAACTCTGAAATTATAAAAGAAATTTACACATTGAAATTAACCAATCACCCACCCATTTGAAAAGCTTGTACACATGCTGCTTTGCATTACATGAATCCCCAGAAACTAATTAATTTACAATTTCTTAATACATGTTATATCTGACATGTTATATTCTTCCAATGATTATATATATCTAATTAGAAATGATAATCCTTAACAATATTACTTTCTCAAACTTCATTTATATTGTTAAATTCAAGGTGTCAATTTAGTGACAATACAGTCATGACAGTGGTGGTTCCAGGATTTAAATTAAAATAAAACTGGGTTGTGAGTGCCCCCAAAATGTATAAAATTTCAGCTTGCATTGTACAATAGACATGTTATGATCTTATGATGTTTATGCAAACTATTAAATACAAAAATGTTATCAAAAGGTTTGGTATAACATAAATTTGCTCCTTGTTAAACCTAAAAATTATTTTTCAAGACTTTTGAAATGTTTTCTTTGTCTGAAACTTTTATGTACATGTATTGAGCAAAAATGCTGGGGGCATAATTATCTGTAATACTTAATAAATACATGTACATGTATTTTCTTGGTAATTAATTTGGCAAATTTGTATTCATGTGTTGATAATAACAACATGAACAATGCAAAGTTTAATTTTGCTTTGAATAATTTAGTAAATAAACATTAATAGTAATTGTATGTATATTTGCTTTATATTTACAGGATGGAGAAAGATGTTCACTCTGGATCAAAAATTCAAAACAGAGGATCTTTTTATTCAAACAAAAATACTTGTACATTTATGATATTCTGTACATACAACAAGAAAACAGTAATCAAATGGAATGTCCAGTGATGTTGAAAACAAAATTATTTTTGTTAACAGAAAACAATAGGACTACAATATATTAAGGGTAAGTAATCCAAAATTGTCTGTTTTAATAGGGTTACAAAAATTGACAATGTGCTATGATTTCAATCCCCCAAATATGAAACAAAAACATAATAAATTATACATGGTATTTAAACTGTTTTCATAAGGAAACAGACTGAAAAATATTCTGCATTTAACAGTCAGACATGAACGTTGCCAATGTAATAAATTGGGCCTGGAACTTAAAATTTATAGGATATATAGGCCAAGGAATCATTCAGACTTTAAGGCCAAATGGTATACTTTTAATAGTTTAAAGATTTTATTCTATTATCTATGCTGTATAAATGTCAATATTGTTTCATTTGGATTTAAAACCTAATTTCAAGAATGAAGGGTACAGTAATTTAAAATTAATTTAAATGATTTAAAACAATACAAGGGAAGTAATCTTACAAGATGTGCATTATATCCTAATGAAGTGTTTTTAATGAATTAGTCCATTTTTTTACGACCGCAAAAAATTTTGCGGTCGTATATTGGTATGACGTTGGCGTCGTCGTCGTTGTCGTCCGGTGTTGTCCGAAGACACATTGGTTTTCGCACTATAACTTTAGTTTAAGAGGATGGATCTCTATGAAATTTTACCATAAGGTTAAATACCACAAAAGGAAGGTTGGGATTGATTTTGGGGGTTATGGTACCAATAGTTAAGGAATTAGGGGCCAAAAAGGGGCCAAAAATAAACATTTTCTAGTTTCTAGACAATAACTTGTGGAACAGTTTATGGATCTCTCTGAAATTATACCACAAGTTTCCATACCACAAAGGGATGGTTAGGATTTGCTTTGGGGGGTTATGGCTCAAATCATTTAGGAATTAGGGGCAAAAAAGGGGGAAAACCAAGGTTGTCCTGGTTAATGGACAAATACTTTAGTACAAAACATAATTTAAAGCAGTGTAAGGGAGATAAATCAAATGCAGCATTTGAATTACCTCCCTTATGCTGCTTTTAAATTATGTTTTAAGTAATGGTTAATGAACAATTAAGAAAATTCAAAACAGTGTAAGGGAGGTAATCCAAATACAACGTTTTGATTACTTCCCTTACACTGCTTTTAAATTATGTTTAAAGAAATGCATATTTATAAAGGAAGACCAGTAAAAATATCTGCAAAGTTGCATCTTTTTTTTTTACAAAAAAATCCATATGAAAGATTTGACACCATATTTTAAATTCTATTATAAAATAGATTAAGTTAGCACTATGGTAAATTTAAATGGGTAATTATGGTTGCAAATTCCATTGGAAATTTGAATTGAGATTATGACCATATCTTGAGGGAAAGAATTTTTTGGGGGAAAAAGGGTGGGGGGGGGGAGGGTAAAAAGAAATTGTGGGGGGGGTCAATTTTTTTCTCATTTCAGATTTCAGAAATTAAAGAGAATTATTCTTCAAATATTATTTTTTTTTTTCAAATTTCAAATGTTGAAAAATTTCAAGAAGTAATCTTTAATTGCACAGTATGGCCGATTAGATTTGTAAAATCTTTGACCACATTTATTTATTTGTTATGCCGAATCTGACCTTGTATTTAGATTTTTAATTTTGGGTCCAGTTTTCAAATTGGTCTACATTAAGGTCCAAAGGGTCCATCCATATGGGGTTCTTTGATATGCTGAATCTAAACATTTGTTTAGATTTTTGATTATGGGCCCAGTTTTCAAGTTGGTCCAAGTTGGGGTCCAAAATTAAACTTTGTTTGATTTCAACAAAAATTGAATATATGGGGTTCTTTGATATGCTGAATCTAAACATGTATTTAGATTTTTGATTTTGGGCCCAGTTTTCAAGTTGGTCCAAATTGGGGTCCAAAATTAAACTTTGTTTGATTTCAACAAAAATTGAATATATGGGGTTATTTGATATGCTGAATCTAACCATGTATTTAGATATTTTATTTGTGGGCCCCGCTATCAAATTGGTTCATATTGAGGTCAAAAGGGTCCAAAATTAAACTTTGTTTGATTTCATCAAAAATTGAATTATTGGGGTTCTTTGATATGCCAAATCTAACCGTGTATTTAGATTTTTAATTTTGGGTCCCGTTTTTTAAATTGGACTACATTAAGGTCCAAAGGGTCCAAAATTAAACTTAGTTTGATTTTAACAAAAATTGAATTCTTGGGGTTCTTTGATATGCTGAATCTAAACATTTGTTTAGATTTTTGATTATGGGCCCAGTTTTCAAGTTGGTCCAAGTTGGGGTCCAAAATTAAACTTTGTTTGATTTCAACAAAAATTGAATATATGGGGTTCTTTGATATGCTGAATCTAACCATGTATTTTGATTTTTGGGCCCCGTTATCAAATTGGTCCTCATTGAAGTCAAAAGGGTCCAAAATTAAACTTTGTTTGATTTCATCAAAAATTGAATTCTTTGGATTCTTTGATATGCTGAATCTAACCATGTATTTAGATTTTGGATATCAGACCATAATAGGTAAATTAAAAAAATTTAAGTTCATAGACCACATTCATTCTGTGTCAGAAACCTATGCTGTGTCAAATATTTAATCACAATCCAAATTCAGAGCTGTATCAAGCTTGAATGTTGTGTCCATACTTGCCCCAACTGTTCAGGGTTCGACCTCTGCAGTTGTATCAAGCTGCAACCCAGCGGAGCATTTTATTTTCAGATAAGAGAATGACTTAAGCAGACTGTATTGGGGTCATAGATGGCCTTAACAATGAAATACAATATATTATAATTATCATTCTTCATTACATTTTGATTGAATTAACAAACTTAATTTAATAACAATAACAAAATATTTTCTTTTTTCAGAAGAATAATTTTACTGGAGGATAAAAAATTTAATACCTGGAATCAGCAATTTACAAAATGTATATGAAATTTATTAAGAGAGATATATTCATGTACAGAATGGTAACCCCACCAAATAACTCAGGTGGTTCAAGTGATTATTAGCAGACATTTTTGTTTAACTAATGTAGGATTAAATAAATGAAGCTTTAGCAGACTATGGGCTCCAAAGTGTAGTAAAAAGAGGATTTTTAAATATGACAGACTCATAAACATTAAAATGTGCATAAGTGAAATGTTACAATATTTAGTAAAACATTCAGATTATTGACTCAAGTTGTTTTCATGAAATTTTTTATCAAAACAATATCACTGTTATATAATTAATAAGATTCCATATGTTTTATTTTACCGGTATACTTTTGACAACCGAATATATCTTCCCTCAGCTCTGGCCTCAAGTGTTTCCCTTTTATTTTGTATGAGTGTAATTTACAGAAAGCTCACTTTGCTTTTGGCCAATTCAAGTTTTGCCTTTCCAGAATTATTGGACTCTATTCATGGGAAATTAGACATTTGCCCATATGTTGTAGAAGAACTCAATTTTGCTTTAATACTTTTTCAAGAAATTGTATCACAAGGCTAGATTTGATCAAATAATCTCACTTTTGAATATTTATCACATATCACATACTTAAATAATCTAGTATGCTTAGATTAATTTCCTTCACTTTTGCCCTGTTGTTGAGATTGGAGTGAAATAATTTAATTATTTTATCCCTATCAATTTGGGGTTGCCTGGGGATCTGTGTCCCATTGGGACGGGCATTTAACACTGCATAACTATATCCTATTACAAGTTATGATACAGCCAACCATATAACATAGCCCCTGCCACTGAAAGGAGAAAAGAGGTGCACAACATACAAAAAAATATTTCATATGGCTAGCTTCATTGTATCCTTTGAATATTTCATTGATTTTTTGTCAGTAGTTATTCATTAAAGGTACTACAGTTCCCTTTTAGTTTGCCTGCTTAAGACTTGATTACAGTTCCAATATAAAAATAAGAAGTTGGGGTATGATTGCCAATGAGACAACTCTCCACCAGATACCTTATGACGAAAAGGTTAATAAATATATGTATAGGTCTCTGACAGCCTTCATCAATGAGCAGAACCAATAACGCATAGTAAGCTACATGTATAAAAGGTCCCTAAATAACATGACACAATAGAGGCTGAAAATAAATATTCTGCATCAGTGAGTTTGCAAAATTGAAAATATATTTAGAAAGAAAAGCATGTGTACCAATGGCTGCAAATAAAAAGTCAATCTAGAAAAAAATCCTACTACCTCACACATTATGGCTTATGCAGTTTATTCACTATTTTGTCAACAAACTTTTACATACTTCATTCAACTAATTTACATTAAACCTGGGAACAGTATATCTGTCAATATATGTTCGTGATTAAACAAGACAAAATAAAAGAAAAGAACAGGGCGAAAGGACCCAGAGCGAACAAGTATTAGTGCGAACAGACCAGGATTCCCTTCCCACCACCTACCTAGAATAGGCGTAGCAAATGGTCCTCCCCATATTCATAGATATATTAATACTAGTCTAATAGTCATTATACATGTACATGTTATACCAATGCCCTAAGAAACTGCACATTGAATATTTAAAAAGTAAAGTCATGAAGAGTTTAAACCAACACTGCAAACCAGAAATGAAGAATCAATAAAATGACACATGCCTTTGACAAAATTACCCCCCCCCCCCCCCTTTTTTTAAAAAAAGAAACAAAATAAAACACATAACGATAACTGTATTAGCGAAAGGAAACTTATGAAAAAACCGATAGCTTTTCTATGGCCTATTCAGATTAGATGGTCATTAAAAACTCACCGGCCGATAACATACTAACAATATTCACGAAATAAATATGGATTGATCAACGAAGTACGATATCAACAAATCAATCCCATGATGATGTAGGCCTAAAACTGTTAATTTACCAAGCTCGGCCTGTTTTGGTATAACGTTTATATGAATTCAACATATCGCATGACTTCCTTGGCATTCAGATAAACAAAATTGCTACAAAGAAGTAAAGAATCCAACTTTTAATGACATTTACGTTGACATTTTCGGCGCCGGAAATTGACAACGTTGGTCTATATATATATACTGACACAACATCGGTTGAGGTAGATTCCGGCAATTCTGCTTCTAAAAATCTCTTGCAGTTAGAATTTATTGATGTCTTAAAATATATTTGTTATGTTTCAATAAATTTTAGTGGATAATTATTTTTGAGAGAAGAATAGCTATCGTGTACTTCAGAAACAAGATTTAGGGAGGACCACGCCCCCATGGTGGGAACATACAAAATAAAAATGACCGTTCTCCATTTCTACTCGATAGAAGTGCCTAATTTTTTCATAACATATACATTATGTATCAAAGATAATTATATGAAAGTATAAAAAAAATCGAGGCGGAGATTTTTTAGAAACAGTTAATAATTATAGCAGACCAATTTACGTAATAGATAAAAAGACGAAAATGGCGCCTTCTTCAAATTCGAAAAAAATCCATTATTTTACAATTTATTGACACATATTGTTATTTTTTAATGGGGTTTAATATCTATTGATTACTTTTCCATGATAATTGAATGAATATTTACTTTAAAAACAGAAACTCTTCCTATTTCTAAATCTACCGACCATGCAAGGAAAAACCTATAAAAAATTGCGACCCCTACATTAAAATGGGAACAAATTTTTGCCCTGGCTTGAACACTCACGTTCTTTACGAATTTCGATGCCAAAAACTAGCGAGAATATGATGTAGAATTTTTTTTTAAATCGAAGGATAGGTATTTTTTTGTTCCCATTTTTAATGTAGGCATTTTATCCTACAGTGCAGAAAATCAATATCCGAAATTCTATGTTCAGATATAAAAAAATGAGATTTCCTTTTATTTTAATGTTCAAAAATGAAAATAATATGTAAATTCATATATTTTTCTCATATAGATTTCCTTACAATCAACAGTATTTATCGTCGGTACTTTGCCGCAAACGAACGAAAAAAAATACAAAAGCGCGCCATTTTTCAGTTGACGTCGGCCGACGCAAAATAGTCCAATTTTCGGCGTAGGACTACTGAGCGCCGCCGAATCACATTTTGGCCAAAAAGGCACATCCGGTTGTCCTACTGTACCGCTTGAGTGATTTACCTTACAAAAAGGCGGACACTTAAAAGTTTAAAAGGACTTAACATCAGTTTGATTCCGTTTAACGGGGGCGTGGCTAATTAGTTTGACGCAGTTTAACCACATCTCAAATTAACTTGAATGACCGCAAGGGAATCTATTTGACTGGTATTAAAATGATTTGATATGGATTGAAATGCATTAAAAATAATATTCAAGTGTAAAAAAAAATGCAATTTCCAATATAAACAGAAAATTGACTTTAAAAGAAAATTAAAAATGTTGTAAAAAAATATCAGGATCAACCGAACTTGGTGTAATTTTTGTTGCCCAATCCTTTTTGTTAATAGACGTGTTACGAAAGGGTATATACTCGACGCTGAGGTTGACAAATTAGACTTTAAATGTGGATATCGTATCAACACACAAAAATGATTTAAAGATTTTAATTACCTGTGTATCAAACGAATATTGTATATAAACTGCATATAGTACTGAAATCAACGTATAAATTTTCCTTCATCCTTACAGATGTCCGTTTGGAAACTTTAATATAGACAATTTCATTATAAATATTCATTATCTCAGATGGTGCCATTAAAACAAAATACATATATGGTTTGGCGATATCTGGCCACAGCTTTTATTCATAATATAGATTCATATGATATATATATATAGATAGATAGATAGATAGATAGATAGATGTATATGTATATGTAGATAGATATATGGTTGGTTACCCGAAGATAATATGGCAACCTTGCTGCAAAATGCAGATAGATAGATAGATATATATGAGAATGTAAAGATGCACCGTGGGATACACTGGTGCTTTAAATTTAGAAAACACCGTGGGATACACAAGTGTAGTCTGTATTATCCAAAAACCTAAAATTTCATAGTTAAAATTACGATTCTATTCAGCGAATTCTGCCACATTAACGGAGGAAAACAGAGACTCTGTCAACCGCCATAAAAAGGGCGGTTCGCTGCAAAGCTGTGAACCAGATATGAGATAACTACAGATAGATAGATAGATATTTTTATTCAAAGTACAACTTGGTACATATATATGTTAAATAATCTATATGATGTTTTGTGAACAACTGTTCAAAAACATATTTACCTACACATATAAAAATACTAACCAAAACTACACCAAACCATAAGATAGTTGATTGTATTTGTATACCATAAAATATAGTATATTATAGTATATCATCAAATATATATTCAAGATGTTTAACAATTCATTTCATAAGCATGTTAAGGGTGACAAGTGAAAAACATCCAGTTGAAAAATTTCTGGTCTGATCCAAAATCATAATATTTTATGTAGCAACCCTGACAGCTAATTATAAAGGCAATAATATAGTTGTATATTCTATAGCAACATAAGTCCATGCTTTGCAATAACCTGGTCAAATTTGAGACCATACTTACTTAAGAATTGATGAACCGCATAATCCATCTGATCATGTTCTTCATCTCATTGTGCAAAAATCCCACTCTAGAACTACCTGTGTCATTACCTGCTACATGTTTTATTAAGAAATATGGTGGATCCTCATAGTTTCATGTTCTGAGTTAACTTTTAGCATGCTTGACAATCATGCCACCACAAAGATTCATTTCCGTGCCTAGACCTAAGTCAACCCCATCTGGAGGATGTCGGTCTGCTACAAAAACATACTTACTATTGAGGATTCTACTATCCAAACATTAAAGCTAATAGGATCTCCTACAATTCTTGTACAGCAAATAGCTACATGGAAGTATATGTTACATATGTAATACCAATACAATTTAAAGCATAATTAATCGAGAAAAATAATAATTCTTCTGTAACCCCTGTCTTAAGTTGTCAGCATTGGATCTCCGACCCTTTAATAATCCTCAAAAACAATTGAAAAGACAGCTTCAAACACACTGAATTCATACCAAGTTTAGCCAACAACAAGATAAGAAAATATTTGCTAGACTTCAGCATGACTCTGGTTAAGGTAAATGTAAAGGCCTGGAGTGTTTTATACCTTCTTAAAAACTGACAAACCTCAAATTTTTTATTTTTTTGACACATCTGTTAAATTTTCCTAGA